GCGCTTAAATGCTGTCCTTGTCACTCAAGTTCTTGGGTCACCTTGAACAGGTCACCAAGACTCAGGACCCACGTTTATAAAGGAAGACTAATATCCCCTGTGGCCCAGATGAGTCCGGGCCCCCTCGGTCCCCACAGAGATCCCTGTCACGTGGTAGGTGCCCGAGGATGGGCAGGTGGTTGGAATTGCAAGGACATGGAGGTTCTCTTTGCTTTCACACGCCTGATTTTTTTTCTTTATTCTTTATTTTGGCCAACTCGGGGCTTACGGTGAGGAATAATAATAGCATTAAACAAGAGGACCATTACTTATTTTATGCCAGCATGGCACCGAAAACGCTGTGTGTGCTGTCTCATTCCAAACCCTCACAATCCCAAAAGGGGGGGGACTGTCATTATTCTCATTTTCGCAGTGACGACACGGAGCACCAGAGATGCCAAGTCACTTGCCCAAGGCTGCCCAGCTACGCGGTGGCAGAACTCACACGACAACCCAGATCTGCCTCCCTCCTGCACCTTTGCTCCCAACCACAGCCCCAATCCCATAGCTATTTTTATTGCATTAAAGAGATCATTTATATGTTTGCTCTATGCCAGGAACTGTTCCGAACACTTCAAATATTAACTTCCTTAATCTTCATAAAAATGCCGTGAGGGAGATACCACTAGCATCCTCGTTATTACAGGTGGAGAAAACGGAAGCCCAGAGAAGTTGGGTAACCGGCCCAAGGTCGCACCGGCTTTCCAAGTCCAAGTCTGCTTTTTCGTAAGCGTACAGATGAAAGCAAGGCCGGGCACCAGAGTGTTTGGGGGAGTGACAGGTCCGGCTTGCCCGCAGACAACCCCGATATGCACTGTTCTGCTGTAACATCGTGTCCTTTGCAAAAATGTGAAGGAAACAGACATTGGTTTTAGCCTCAGACGTGAGAGAGAGCCTCCGCCGCGTTTGTCTGTAGGCAAAATAGCTCTGGAGTGCATGCCTACCAACAGGCAGCCCCGGGCCAGGAGACACGGGCTGGAGAAGAGCCCAGCCTCTCGTCCGACGGGGAGACAGCAGATACGCTGGGCTGAACACTAAAGGTTAATTGCTCTGAGTAATACTGTGGCACTTCATCCTGGTGCCAAACGAACTGAGACAATATTGACCGAGAGTCAGCCAACATCAGAATGCAAACACGCAGGGAAATCCAAGTCCTTAGGCGGAGAGAGCCCAAGCGAGAATCTGAACACTCAGGAAGATCAGCTGAGGGCGAGGCCGTCCCCGCAGGACCTGAAACCCGGGCCTTCCGTGCCAGCCTTGTACTGCGAGAGGCTTGGTGTGCGTGCCAGGCCTTTGCACATGCGGCTCTCGGTGCTACAAGTACCATCCTCCAGCCGGCTGCACCCCGGCTCTCCCTAACTGATGCCTCTTTGTTATTCAGCTCTCACGCAGAAGGGGTTTGTTTGGGGAAGTCTTGCTCCCCACCCTGGGCTGAGGTGGGGCATCTCCTCCTCCAGGCTCATTTCCCCCTTTGTTGACTGCTATTTGAACACTTTTTTTGTTTTCAGTTTATATATACTTCTTTCTCCCTGTTAGTCTGTGGCCCAGACAGAAACTAGACTCTTTTTATGTTCGTATCCTTTTGTAGTCCTAGCACTTAATACAGTACCAGGCAAGTCCGTGCTTGGTAAGTGTTGGAAGGGAGAAAGGAAGAGCGGATGGATGGATGGATGGATGAATGAATGAATGAATGAATGGCTGCATGGATGGATGAATGGATGGACAGATGGATGGATGACTGGATGAATGGATGGATGGATGGATGATTGGATGGACAGATAGATGATGGATGGACAGATGCCTTTAACAGGCAGCTAATGCAGAGTTTCCATCTTCTAGGATTCAAAGAAATCATGTCTTCTCTCACTGTAAATGGTCCCTAAAATTCTGTAAATCCATCCCTGGGGAGAAGGCCCGAGCCACACTAACCCTAGCTCAGAATATAAGTTGTCTTGTTTTAAACCTTTGTTCCCCAAAAGATGGCCTAGTTGCTAACTGCAGTCAGAATTCAGCTGCATAGAAATATGGTTTCATGTGGCTCACATCTACCCTCAGTGACTGAAACCGCGCCTCCCTTTGTTGTTAAGGGGAAATAGCACTTGTAGGGAGTTTCCTATCCTGGCCCGCGGGTGCACTGTTGATTTCTGAAGTTGGGGGATGCTGGGGCTTGAGGGGTTAAACCATAGTGAGTTGGGAGTTGGATTGAAGGAAAAACAACCTCAAACCGTTACAAGTAATGTCAGATCTGGATTTTAATTTCAGTTCTATCACATACTACTTATGAGAACCTTGATAACTGTCTTCTCAAAGCATCTCTTTTCTAATCAGTAAAGTGGGGAGTAGGGACCATTGAAAATCAGTGTAAAAGGTTAGTTCAAAAGGTTGTGTCAGGACGGAAGAAAAACAGCACAGTGCAACAATCGTTCAATCAATAACAGGTTGCCACAGTAGCTGGTAGATGGAAGTAACCCACGTGGTAATAAAGATATTTTCAATTCAATTAATACATTAGTAATAGTGCACTGGGATAACACTTCACCAATTATGGAATACTTACCAGTGGTGATAGAGAAGAAAATCTTACCTTGTAGGTAAAGTAAGCTTTTAAATAACGTTAAATCCTCAACTGAGAAAGTTATGCCCAGGGCAACTCTCTTTCAGTTATGAACTAACGTTTCTAACTATGTCAAGGAGAAAGTCTTCATTTGATGCTGACGTTTCTTTAAGGCGTTCAGCAGTCAGCAGGGCTCAGACGGGGGTCTTGGGTGGGCAACAGAATCGAGCTGGAATGCAAAATCTTTCTTTACCCTTGTTGCATTATTTTTTTAATGCTATCTTTTACTTGTGGGAAATAATACCACTTTTTAGTTTATGGTAGTCATGTTCAATTTGTTTTAATATGTTCAGTAACGTTGTGAGTCAGGGTAGAGAACACATGTGAGTGATAATGCAGGTGGCACGGCGGATGGGCACTATGGCAAACCGAGACAGATGAACCCCCCCCCGGCAGCCCGGTGGGGACTCACACACCCACGCGCCTACCGGGGTCAGGACGGCCCTGGGCACCCACTACCCACCTCGTTGTAAACTCTCCACCAGTAAGAAAAGCTTGATGCCTAGGCATTTTTCCAGAGTTTAGATGACTTTAAAAAAAAAACAACAACGATTGTTTCGTATTGGATTTAAAAATTCTATGTGCTGTTTTAAATATAGACACACTGTGCATATTAATTATCTTCAACCCTGTTTCTAGATAATGTGATATATTACATTAAATATGTAACCTGTTACATTACATCGTATTAGCAACACGTGAAACATTTGTAGCCCTACATTCCCAAGCATACTTTCACGTTGTCATGGAGACATGGGACTCTTCTCTTTTGTCCTTTTGATAGAAACCTGGGCATCAGAAACAGTTTGTGACTCTTTCAAATTTACCCTAAGAAAAATGGTAGCATGAGGGGAAGGACAGATAATAAATTATGACTGGAACTCGGGGCCAGAGTAGGGGGAGGGGAGTGGTGGGGACCCAGGTGAACCGGGGGACCCATGTCCCTTGAAGGGGCACCGCCAATAACAAGTCCCACTCCATCGTGAGGAGAGGATCTTGCCAAACGCCTGTGTTTCTCATGAGAAGTTAGAACCGTGATCTTTTCGTATGCTGTTCACTGATTATGCAACGTGGGCAGTTAATCCCAGATTTTAAAAACACTGTTCCTTCCCACGACATCATGGAAGATCGATCGCTCAGACCATGCCCCTCCCTCCGGTTATTTCTTCCCTCTGCCCCGGCTGAGTGCTGGGGGCTCAGGAGTGAGGAGCCCAAATGCCTGGAGGTGAAAGGAACTGAGTGTCCAGAGTCCATTGTGTTGTCCGTTGACAAAGAACAAAGACCAGCGTTCAAGACACACGTGCCAACAATTTCAGCCTCACGTCATCGATGGGAAAGAAATTACGAGACAGAACACTGATGAGAGACCATATTTCTTAAGCAAATACAATTTTGTTTAGCTGCTAGTGCCTTGGATACAAAGAAACGGACCCTCTGGCACACCGATCCATGCACTCATTCTGTGGCAGCGCCGAAGAGAAGGACAGAGACCCAGCCCTTGGCCTCGAGGAGGGCCACCGAGTTGGAGAGGGATTTGGCCACCAATGGAACAAATGCCCTTAAACACGGCTACCCTTTGATCCGACATGTTAACATCTGGAGAATGCTTGTAGGAGAAAAATGGAGGAAGTGACGGCAATCACCTTGCCACAAACATGTTTATCCTTCTTGTTAATAACAGCAGACTCCGTCAGACACTGAAATGTACAACGTGGCCCGTAATTCATTCATCTGGGGCGCAGCCTCTTAAAGGAGCTCCCGACCCTATTTTAAATGACATATTTGGCACCGTAAATAATGCCTTAAAAGAAGGATGTCTTGGCTTCAAAACAGTATTTCAGAATCACTAATATACACGTGATATTGATATGGAAAGAGAGAACCACCGAAAGAGTATTTCTTGATGATAGGATTATAGATTATTACTCCTTTCATATGCTGGCTGTCTGGGTGTTTTATAAGAAACATCTATTCCTTCTATAATGAGGAAAAAAGGGAGCAATTTTCAAAATTTCATTCTCTAGAACCCCTCACACTCTTAAAAATTACCGAGGACCCCAGAATGGATTTATTCCATGGGTTACAGCTAGCAATGTTTACCGTATCAGAAACTCAAACTAAGGACTTTAAAATATTTAGTTATCAATTCATTTTAAAATAATAGCAAACCCATTCCGTGCTGCCAAAAATAATATTTGGATGAAAATTACTGTTTTTTTTATAGTTTCCAACCAAACTATTTGATTTATTCCCAACAGGAAAAGGGGCAAAACTATGGTATGACAGTACACGTTTTGGCAAATGTCTTTAATTTGTACCTTCAGGGAAGACAGCTGGGGTCTCATACCTGCTTCTGCATGCAGTATGTTTCCACATGTTGTTTCGGTTGACGGAGATGAGGGAGATCCAGCCCCACACGGTCACGTGGTTGGAGAGGAAGAAGTACTTTCATCACTTATTCCAACAGTAATGTGCACCCTTACCCTAGGCCCAGACGTGACAGGTGATACAGTGTCTTGAAGTTAGTTGCGGTGTGAATTCTGACACTTTATCAATGTGCTTTTTCCTCTCACTTGACCTGCGAGAGGATGAGAGAAAAATGCACATAGCGTCTCCGTGTGACGGTGAACGCAGCAAGGGCCGGGGCCCCGCCCGGACCCCGGGCCATGCTGAGAAGCTCCGCCCTACACCGCACGCAGGAGAGCGTGGGGCGCTAAGGCCTGGGAGGAGCAGATGCCCACGGTTCTGCTTCGCGTGCGTTGGCATAACGTTCCGCGTAGCTTGCCGCACTTTCTGCCGTGTGCCTTTCAACTTTAAAAAATCCCCTTTCTTGCCCCTGGCTGGCGTAGCTCAGTGGATTGAGCGCAGGCTGTGAGCCGAGGTGTCGCAGGTTCGATTCCCAGTCAGGGTACATGCCTGGGTTACAGGCCATGACCCCCAGCAACCACACATTGATGTTTCTCTCCCTCCCTCTCTCTCTCTCTCTCTCTCTCTCTCTCTCTCTCTCTCTCTCTCTCTCCCCTCTCTCCCCCCCTCTCCCTCCCCTCCCTCTCTAAAAAATAATAAATAAAAAATCTTTAAAAAAAAATCCCGCCCTGGCTGGCATAGCTCAGTGGATTGAGCACGGGCTGGGAACCACAGTATCCCAGGTTCGATTCCCAGCCAGGTACATTCCTGGATTGCAGGCCATGACCCCCAGCAACCGCACATTGATGTTTCTCTCTCTCTCTATCTTTCTATCTCCCTCCCTTCCCTCCCTAAAAATAAATAAATAAAATCTTTAAAAAAAAAATCCCCTTTCCTTCCTGAGGCCACTGTCGGGGTTTGGCCCCAGGAGCAGCAGTCTCCGGGTGGAGACGGGCCTGCAGGGACCTCAGCTGGTTTGATCTTGTAAACCGCCCCTGGGAGGGAGGGACAGAGGCAGGGCTAGGGGGAGGGGGAAGGAGAAGGTGGGCGCTGCCATAGAGTCGCCCCCGAGGCCCCCATCATCCATCCATCCATCCCACAGGGAACTGGAGACCTGGGTGGCGCCCCTGAGCTGTTCCCTGGAGCCAGGGGACGCGATCTCTCTGTCTCTGTGCCCGCCGGCCATTGCGCACCGACTGCCCTGCACAGGGACCTGATCTGCAGAGCTGGCACGTGCCAGGGAAACAGCATCCTCAGCCACCCCCTTCCAGAAGGGTAGCGGGCTGCGGAGCCCTCGGTGCCGGAGGGCGGATCTCCGCCAGGCACCGTGGCCTCCACTCCTCCTGGCGTTAACCAATACCGGACCCGGGATTTGAAACCCTGCCCCTTTGTGGGGCTCCGGGGCCCCTGCAAAGGCAGCCTCTGAGCACCGCTTCATCTCGGGCAGGCTCTGTTCAGCCAGGTAGCACAGGGGGGCAGCCCTGGGGGCGGTCCTCAGGGAACGCGGCAAGAGGAAAGGGCGGGTCCGCGCAGGCCCAGGCCTGCAGGAACGCGCGGTGGGCGCTGCTCTCTGCCCCCCTGGCTGTGAGGATCGGGGCCACTGCCGCTCGCCGGTATAACCATCAGGCTCACCAGTGCATTCTGGGAAGGGGGAGGACTTTCCCTGGAGAGTCACGCACTCTCCCCGGGGTAGCCGGCAATGAGCATGCTGGGCCATACTCCTGCCGTGCCCTGCACGATGCTCGGGACCTGCTGATCCTAAAAAAAATCATTCATCGGTTCATCTGACGTTCAAACAGAACGGGCGTCCTGTACTTCCTAATCGTGAAAACACAGGCACAATGTGAAATTTTTCATTTTAACCCCTGTGAGGTGCACGGCTCAGTAGTGTGAGGGACGTTGACATTTCCACACAGCCGTCCACACCGTCCATCCCTAAAACGGTCTTCTCTCCCAGGTTCGCCTCTGCCCCCATGAAACACGACTCTCCTTCTCGGCTCCTCCCAGGTCCTGGCCACCACCCTTCTGCTTTCTGCCTCTATGAATTCCACTGCTCTGGGAATCCCGGGTAAGGGGAAGCATACACAAAGTGTCCTTTTGTGTCTGACTTACTTCACTCAGTATAACACTTTCAGGGTCCATGCATGCTCTAGCAGGGGTCAGAACTTCCTTATTTCACCCGGCAGCACCACCACCGCCACGTCCCTGCAGCATGAACACCCCGGGAGGCCCGGCCAAACAAAGCCTGGACTGCTAGCCTGACCATCGGACTCCTTCCCAGTCCAGCCCTGGTCCCATTCCCCGCCTTACCGTCTGCTCTGAATACTGATACCAATAACTACGGCCACCGTGTCCTGTGTTCCCACCGGGCGACCTGGGAATCCCAGAGCCCACCACGCCCTTCCCTGCCCGCCCCGCGCCCTGGGATTCCAGTCCTCCATTGTTTGAGGCTCTCGTCCTCATTCTCAGCGTGCAGGGGCAGCGCACAGCTCTCACCCGTCTTCCTACCTCCGAGGTTTCTTGCCTCCAGTGGGGGCAAGTTTGCCCCCACGGGATATTGTGGCCATGTCCAGGGACATTCAGGGTGGTCACAACCGGGGGAGGGACGTGCTCCTGGCACCTAGTGAGGCCGGAGACACTTCTGAGCATTCTGCAGGACACAGGACGGTCACACCTCGGAGAGCGACCCAGCCCCAAAGGTCAACAGTGCCAACACTGTAAAACCCTCCTCTACCTCGCCCAACATAGGTAGCTTCTTCCTCTCCGCAGTTACAATAAACAGGACCAGCCCTGGGCCGGCACACACCACACGTGACACGCCAGGCAGCTTGCGAACGGTGCCATGCCCGCGGCAGGCACCGACCGATCCCAGGGTGAGCGCGCAGATGCTCCGTCCTGGGGCGTTGAGGGAACTGGCCCACGTTCCCGTGGATGCAGGATCCGAAGCTCAGCCATGTCCACGCTGCACCGTACACACCAAGCACGCCACGAGCCCGCATCCAAACTGGGGCCCGACGCCGAGGCCCCGGCCTCGCCGCTCTGCCAACCTCCCGCCCCCGTGTCTCGAGGCCGGTCACTGGCCTTGAATGACGGAGACCATGGCTGTGGATCAGGGGGAATGTCCCCTCTGCAGGGGACAGCAGCCCATCTCCAGGCTCTGCCTCCAGGGGCGTCGTGCACTGAGGCGAAGAAGGAACCGTGCTCAGAACCCAAGTTGCGTCTCCCCGGCTGGCGCTGCAGAAGGCAGTCTGGCCGCCCCCTCCCCCCAGGAGAGTCCGAGGGTTCGACTCTCTCCGTCGTAGTTCCCAAAGTCTCGCTTCAGGCAGCCCTGTGGCTCAGAGAGTCCAAGGCTGCAAACCGATGAGCCAGGTCGATCGATCAGCATTCAGCGAAATCTGCGTGTGGCTTGCCGATTACCTGCGGGTTCTGTAACTGTTTTTCCTTGTCCTTGGATGATGTGACTTGTGGGGTCTTATTTTGGTTTTATTTGTGCATGGATGTACACATTCCCTTTTCAGAGGTGCACACCAAAAACGCTGTGAGGAGCGCAGCCGGGAGTCAGATGGTGGGCGCGGAAGCCCCACCTCTCCCCGTGGTGGCTGCCACTCGATTAACCATGCTCTGTGCCGGGCACTGAGCGAAGGAGTTGCTGTGAATCATCTCATTGAATTCCCACAAAGACTCCATGACTGCCGGCATCTCCGTTTTGACAGATGATAAAACCGAAGCACAGAAAGGGCAAGCCACCCGCCCCAGGTCACACAGCCTCAAGATTGTGTCTCAGACTGCCTGACGCCAGAGCCCAGGCTCCTAACCACGGCCGGGCCAGCCTGGGGTTAGCCTCGAGAGATGGACTCAGCACCAGGCCGTGGACTGATTTGGGGCAAGACATTGGTCTTCTCTGAGCCTCTACTTCCTCTCACCTAAGCAGAGACTCCTCACGCCCGAGGATTATAGTAAGGAGCGCGTTGCAGTGTACAAGAAGGCGGTGTGAAAAGTGCTAAGTGACGGCGCGTGCGACACGGGAAAGGTGCGTCCGGATGTGCCGTCTCAGCCAGAGCAGGGTGGGCACGCTCGGCCACCCTGCAACGAATGTCTGGGTCGTGCTCGCCGCTGGCTCGCTGATCCAAAGCAGAGGGAGTGGGGGGCCGTGTGTGGGAGGCAGGACTGTCTGCGAGGCTGGCCGGCTCGGGGGTGCGGGGGTGCGGGGGGCCGAGGGAGGCCTGGAGAAGGGTCTGGAGAGACTTCAGATCTTCGAGGAGTCTTTCGGGCAGAGCCAGCAGCTCCGGTCCCGATTCCAGGAAAGCAGGTTGATAAAGCGGCTGCCAGCCCCATCGGTTCGTCAATATTTGAAGAGGGGCGGAGGCCGGGAAGCCCGGAGACTGAGAGGCAAACGGAGTCAGGAGATGTGACGGCGGACCCCACCTAACGACCGGACCCCTCCGCTCGGGGAGCGGCTGTGTGGGCGCCGGGAAGCGCAGCGTCCGCCGCGAAGTTCAGCCTTCCGGGGCCTCACCCACGGCACCCACTAGTAACTCGAAGTTTTCGTTTTTCCTCCCTTAGAGTGACTTTGAATAGCGAATAGAAGTCATGACAGGCAAGAGAGGGAGAGAGGGAGAGAGAGACCGGGGAAGAAAGGGAAAATCTTTAGACATATCTTAGTGCCTTTAGTAGGACTTTTTCTGGCTCTTACAACAAGGGGCTCGCCTTTTTGCACAAGGTCTTGCACATGACGTCACCGGCCCTGCCTCTGCCGCTACTATTGAGTCAACACTTGACGAGGGTCTACAGGCCACTAGGCGCCCTGCCCGAATCGTATGAACGACACTCTGACAGCCCAAGCCACTCTGATCCCCACCCCTCCTCCCCCTCCTCTGTAAAATGGGCGCGAAAGCTCTCATCGCAGCGTGCATGCGCCTGAGAGGGATGGGCGCAGAGAGCGTTGCCAAGAGTGAAGCGCCGTCCGGGTGGGGCTTGCCGTCGCAGGTGACGCAGAGCGAGCCAGTCCCATCAGGGACGGCCCGCCGAGCACCTGCTTCCTCTGCGGCGGGGACCTGGCCAGCCCGGCCTGCAGGCCGCTGGGAGTCGGGGATAGGAACAGAAGCGCGAACTAAACACAAAGGTGCTCACAGTCGAGGTGGGGGGTGGCGGGTGGAGGTTGACGGAGACTTGGGGAGGTAATGCGGCTGGTGGCAGTCACACAGCGGGTGGTTAGAGCCTGGGTCTGGACCCAGGGCCAGAGCCCCCACTCTCCAGCCTGCAGGCCCCACTGCCTCTCTGCTCCTGTTAGCCGCGTGCGTGCGTGCGTGCGCGACAGCTGCCTAATAATGGGCTTGATTGCATTCCAGACCTAAAGCTACAGCACTGAGCTGGAACCAGGTTTACAGCCCTCATTATGGTGCGTCCCACGGTGAATTCGGTGTGTATTTAAATACTATGTTTGTCCCTTCCGTGCCGCCTTCCGAAAGGGGCCTTCTCTGTCTCAGCAGCCCTGGCTTTTGTTTGCTACCGAGGGTCACACTCTGTGGCTCTCTGCTTATTTGCAGGACCCCGTGAGCCCAGGGAGGGTGGGGGTAGGGCCTCTGCACCCACCTCTCTGAGCTGCGGCCTATTTATAGCCTGGCACTCACCTGGTATTCAAATAGCCTGGTATGGATGCTTGGATGAGCATGTTAATAAATAAAGCCACAATAATTACTAGTTTGCATTTCTCCTAAGTGGTTTCTGAAGAACACTGCACAGTATAATTTGCCATGTTTCCCTTTTTGCACTGGCTGTTAGGAAGCTCAAAGCCATAGCTTCATAACAAGCCTGTAAATCACCATGCACATTTTTAATAATCCTGGCCCCGTGGACGTACCCACTCCTGTTTTTCTATCTCCTTTAGCTATATTTTTAATCTGTGCTCTCAGACTGTTTTGCATATGTCCTTGTGAAACTCTGGAACAAATACCCTTGCTGGAATGAATAAATTAAACAGCCTGCCCTGACCTTCCAGTGTGCAGAGGGAAAGAATGCCCTTTCCAGTGCCATGCCCTGTCTCCAGGGCGATGAGCCCCACTTAGTTTACCTGCTTGCCAGCATCCCCAGCCCTTGGGGAGTGATGTTTACGTGAGTGGGGGCCGTGCAGTGGGTGACATGCAATTTCCTTCCAAGTAGGTGGTTTGGTTGGGTGGTGGTGGAGCTGGTATTCTGGAATAAATGAAGGTGAAAGGCAGGCGGAACTGTAAAACCTTACAGAACGTGTTTTCCCTGCGGTGACCCGGACGCGTGGTTCCTGCGGAAGGGGGCTAGCCACCCGGGTCCACCCCAGCGGCTGCGGTGGGGGAGGGGGCGCTAGACAGGCTGCTTGGAGCGCCAGGGAGGCGAGAGCGTGAGAGAAATCAGCTGGGTGGTGTGTCACGGGGAAACAGGGACAGCCAGCAGGAGAAGCTGCTTCCCCGGGGCGGGCAGGGGACAGGCAGCCCCACCCAGGCGGGTGTTTGCCTGCCCCGTGTGTGCCCAGCCAGCAGGCTCCGGATGAGGAAGCAGAGGGCAGGGCACCCGGGCTCAGTCGGCCGCTGGTAGTGCCAGCTGGAGACAAGGTGCCCTGCACCGGAGCAGCTCCAAGTGACACAAGGGGACCAAAGACACCCCCCCCAGAGGCGCAACAGGTAACCTCTTCCAGCTCCTCCAAGCACGGCAGGAGGGTTTGTGATCTGGGGCCAGCGGTGAGACACAGGGGCTGGGGGACAGAGAGGGGTGTGTGGCCCCAGCTCTGCCACCGACTCCCTGGGTGGCCTCGGGCACGTGGGCCTCAGTCTCACCTTCTGTGAGCCCCCCTGGGAAGGCAGCGAGAGGATGAAGGGGCAGGGTGGGCAGCGTCAGGGGCAAAGCAACGAAAACGGCTCCTGTTTGTATGGAGCCGGTGAAGGTCATTGGAAGCATACAACTTGGGGGGAACCATCAGATGGTGGGTAAGAGATTCAGTTGGGGGAACACCGCCAGGATAAGGACGCCCCCTGGTAAAGCTGACTGTGGGGGCACCTGGGGGCATCGTCTGAGATGGGCGGGGCCGGGGGCGAGTCAGGCCGGGAGAAGAAAGTTTCCAGTGTGTTCTGGACTACGCTGTGCAGCAGCACCGGGCTCAAACCCAGCTGCACGACCGCAGACACTGAGCGTTCTGCCTGGAAGGGTCCTCTGACGAGAGGGAGGCTGCCCCCGGGGCTCCGGCTTCCCGATCCGTGAAATGGGTGTGACAATAGTGCAGGGATCCGAGTGAAGTTCGTGAGCGCCCAGGCGACCAATGCACACGAATGCCTATGGGTGTGACCAGTGTCAGCTGCTCTCTGTGCTACTGTTTTATCGTCATCTCCACTTTACAATTAGGAAGACGGGGCGGCGGGGGGGGGGGTAGGGGCGCCTCCCGGGTCTCAGAGAAAGCAGGCCGAGGACTTGGCCTCCAGTCAAGGCCGGGGCTCCAGTAGCAGGAGCGCTCCCCTCCGGCACAGAATTCAAGAGGTGACCAAACAAAACTCGGTCATCGGAATAAATGGTATCTTCAGGCAATATGTAAAATTGGTTGAACCAATGCCAAGAGATCTATGATGAACAAAATAACGTGTCACGTAACGAGAGGATCGGGAACAGCATTTGTGTGGTGTTGGGAAAGGTTGTGTTAAAATGAAGTGTTCACCTTGATGGCTGAGCTTCCTGGCTCCCCCTTCCATTTTGCACCAGGGGGTACCCCACCCTCCACCGCACCCGACTAAGACGGTGCTGGCTCCCGGCCAGGGGGCGGGGGGGGGTAGACACCCTACACACCCTAAGGAGTGTTCAGTTTAAAAGGAGTGGGTCAGCCAGCCAATGTCACACACCAAGGAAGATCTTTTTTCCCAAGAGTTCTGAAACTCGGGAGAGGTGATCTTTCTAGGAAAAAGGCACACCCTTTGGGAGAGCAACGGACTGCTGAGAGCACCCGCTGGTGGAGGCTGGTTTCTGACGGCAGGAGATGCAGGGGAGATGATGGGAAAGCCTTGGGGGGCCCGGGGACCCCAGTCCCTGCAGGCTCGGCTGTCCTGCTCCAGTGTCAAACTGCTGCCTGTCTGTCACTGTGTCAGCAGCTTCTCTGCCTCTCACCAGAGCTGGGCCGGAAGCGGTTCAGGATTTGAGCGCCTGAGTCGCAGGGAAACGGGTCCATCTCTCCCTCTGCCTCTTCACCGCTTTCCAGTCTGGGGACGGCGGCTGCACCTAATGGCCGGATGTGAACGGAGGGCTCACTGTGTGCCCTCCGGCAGGTTGCATTCCAGGGATGGTGCCGCGGCCTCGGTTTCTCTATCTGTGCAATGGGGGAGTGACAAGCTGGGGTAGGAAAATGCAGACAGTGGGAGGAGTGTCTGGCCCCAGGGCCAGGACGAGGGCGAAGCGAGCCTGGCACCCCAGGGGGCTTTTGCAAGGAGACACTCCCTGTCCAGTGCCAGTTCAGCCCGAGAGGCCACCCGTTTGCCTTTTGCACCCGGGGAACCTCTCTTGCCTCCCCTGATCCCGGCCCCACCCGGCTCAGAGCAAGCCCTCGGTAATGTTGCCGGCTGTCATTCACCTGAAGGTGTCCGGGGCCGCAGTAAGAATGAGACAGTGTGAGCTCTAAGCCTTTCTGGGAACATCAGCCTCGTATGCAAACATAATGGAGTGTTCCAACAGCAAGACGTCAATTACCAAGTATTCTGAAACAGCTTGATTTTGATGAAGGCACCCCTTCCCCTGGGCCCAGGCAGTCCCACAGCAGGACTGGGGATAGGGGTGGGGGGTGGGGGGCTGGGGGACTGCACAGGGGGCCTGGAGGTCAGTCTCATGCGCCCCCTTGAGGAGGAGGCAGCCGGCACCACTACACCCCGCAGCCCTCATGGTATCTACCGTGTCCCAGCACTGTGCAGAGAGACGCAGGGCCAGGGGACCTGGCAGAGCAGGTCTGTTCTCCTCACTCACCCTGACCTTGCCTTTGGAGTAGGGGGCAGAGGGCGTGTTCTGCTGGGCGTGCCAGCTGGGCCGTGTTGGCACCGCCCACAGCTGGGTGGTGAGCCGGACTCCCCGTTTGCCTACATGCCACCGCAGGGATCCGAGGTGTTTCTGTTTACTCGGTGACTAATTCTGCCACCATCCCACCCTTCGAGGACCTCCCCCTTCCGCTGGGCAGTCGTTTCGCTGCCACGGCTGCAGACCGACTGCCCTTCCTCTGGGGCCACTGGGCTCAGGTTGGGTGTTTGATGGGTTCCCAGGAGGCGGGTTTCTTGTTCTCCTGTCGCCAAAACGAGGCACCGTGAACACCAGTGGCTGGTGTAACAGGGCCACTGGGCCGCACGCCACGGGGACTGCACCCCTGTCACCTCCACAACAGACGGATGGGGGTGGATCTGTGATGGGCCCCTCGCCGCCCCTCACTGTACCGGCCGGGAGTGGAGGCCTCCGCCCCAGCTGCTTCAAACCAGGGTCTGCCCGCTGGCCAGAGGGTTTCCAGTCTCGCCACTGTGGACTGGTGCACTGGCTCTGTAACCGGCTCTTCAGAAACGTGGGTCCCCTAGGGGACACGGGGCCGTCGTGTGAGGAGAAAATCTCTAAGTCCAGCCCCTGGAGCGGGGTCCCTCCACCTGGGCACTAGGGACATTTCGGGGGCCCGGGTCGTTTTCTGCTGCAGGGCTGTCCTGTGCATTATGGGATGTTCAGCCGCATCTCTGGGCTCTACCCGATAGATGCCAGTAGTGGTGACCACCAAAAATGTCTCCAGATATTTCTAAATGTCCCCAGGGCGGGGAGGCGGGGGACGAAATTGCCCCCAGTTCGAAAAACACTGCTGGCGAGTCGCTGTGAGTCCGAAACCGAGAGCAGCACATTTCTGGAGAGAGCACTTGAAGATGAGGAAGTGCAGAGAGCTCTGTCTGTAATACACCCACGCACATACCCCACGGCCACGTGGGGGCTTCCCTGCTGCCCACGCGTGCTCACCTCACTGAACCTTCCCCGCCACACTGTGGTGTGTGAGGCCTGTTGGGTTGGTGCACAACCTCTCTGTGCCTCAGTGTCTCACCAAACAGCAGCCTCTAACCCAGGGGGCGCCTGCAAGGCCCGGAGAAGTGAATGCACGCACATCGGAAGGGCACGGCCCGCAAAAGACCTGCTCGGCGGTGTTTAACGCTGCCGGCCACATGAATATGGCGTTTCCCACAAAGACAGTGCTCTCCGAGGGCTCACGGAGGCCGGTCCCAATCTGTAGCTCTTTCTTGGAGGAAGCGAAGGTGAGCGCTCCGGGGTCTGCCCTTCCGCCGTCCCGCCTTACCCCGCACCCCCGCCACTGCCCCGCATCCTCACTTATCACAGCCACCCAGAAAAGTGAGGATGCCCGGGAGCCCGCGTGCCCGCACGCTTGCACACTCGTTCTCAGGAACGGGAAGCCGCAGGCCCAGGAGGTGTGTCCCGATTTCTGCAGGCTCACAAGACGGAGGGTCCTCCAGGGAGCGCCCTGAAGGGGGTCGGAACGTGTTCAGACGCCCAGGCTGGCTGTGATTGGTCCTGCGTTGCCCCGCCTGCACCTGGGAATCCCCAGCCTCATCCCCTGCGTCAGAGAAGGCGGCGCCCAAGAGATCCCCAGCGGGGGTGGGGCACGCACTCACCCCGAAATCGTCGGCTGTCATGGAAATCACCTAGAGAGCTTGCAAATATACCGATGCCCGGGCCCCAGCCACGGAGAGTCTGACGGAACCGGGCCTGGCTGGAGCCTCCGCGTAGGGCGTTGAATCTCCACTGGCGATTCTGAAGTGTGGCCCAGTTTGAGGACTGGCCTTCGGACACAGCCGGGAAGTGGAGAAATAAAGGGACTTTCTCATCTGAATGCCCCCCACCCAGCAAAAGATTTACTCTGCGTTCTCATAAAGCTAGACCCTCAAACACGAGTTCAGTTTCAAAACCAAATCCCTCCGCCATATGGCCGCTCGTGTCTAATGTCAGGCATGGTGTTCAAATCAAAACAAGGAGCACCACCCGCTCCCGAGCAAAAGGGCATTTTGACATTACCTTCAAAGCTGGTCTTTTTCTAAACAAAAGCCAGCACTTTCGCATGAATATGTTTTTCTGGAGTTAAAACCCCTACCCGATTTATGTTTCCCCAATTGGAGGCTAGAGAAAAGGCCACAGGAATTACGGCCCACAGCTCTTTGAGCCTCAGTTTGCTCATCTGTTCAATGGGGATGGAAGGAGTGCTCACCTCACACAGTGCTTGAGCGGTCAGTGATGGGGCGGTCAGCTCATCCAGGTGTGCCCCGGACGCTCCTACTTTTCACATGAAGATCCTGCCCCCCAGAACGCCCCCGTTCCTGGGACAGGGGACGGCCACCACGGTATTCCCCGCACACGCCTGGTCAGGCAAACCCCCTGTGCGCCGGCTGCAACTACAGATGCCGGGCCCCAGGCTGGCTTTTCGGTGAGAGTCAGAAGTGCTGGTGGCTTTCTCCGTTGATTCTCACTCTCAGGCAACTCTGGGCAGGGGGAGCTCTGCCTGAAAATAACCAATAATAACGAGGGCAACCCTAGCCACGGCTAACATTACACGGTGCTCATCGTGTGCCAGGCGCTGTCCCGGGCACCGTGCATGCACCAGTTTGTATAATTCTCACAACAACCTCTGAAGCGGGGGTGGGGTGCTGTGATGACCCCCATTTTACAGATTAGGAAACTGAGGCCCGGCGAGGGTCACGGACTCAGTATGCAGCCGAGCAGGGATTCCAAACTCGGGGTTCGTCTCCGGAGCCCACATGCTCACCCTGCACGCTACACTGCTCTCTCTGCCTAGAGCGGTCAGCGCTGGGCTGGCACGAGGCCAGCTCCTCCCACACCTTGGAGGTGGTTAATACTCTTGTTTTATTCGTTGTACTGTCTTTGGGGCATTAAAAGACTGGCATTCCATTGCCAACTTTTATTGGCTAAACTGTTAACTGACGTTTTCATTGTGAAGGTTTAATGGCAAAGCCTTCCTTTCCTTTGCCCTCCTCCCCAGACATTTCGACCTCACCTTGTAGGCTGCATGTATTCATTTCTGCGGATACCGACATTGGCCAGTAGGTGGCAGTCAACTTTTGTCTTTGTGCCGTATAGATTCCCGCTCTTCACAAAGTTTGAAGGAAGGGCGGAAGGAGCTTTTGCAACATCCCAAAGACGTTCAAGTGCCTTCTCTTCCTCTCTGGCCACTTGGCCTTAAAGTACAGAGAGGCTACTGAAAATGTGCACTGACAGGACCGTGTAGCCCCAGCTCTGTGGGTGACAGAGTTTCTCTCCTGCCCGGAGATTTTTCACAATCTCAAACATTTCTACTGAAAGTGGCCTCCAACTTGGGTTGAGTTTAAACTGACTAATAGAAGCTTAAAAAGCATGCAAACCCCCTGGCAAATAATTCTGCATTGGGCAAAAAGCTGGATTTAGATGGAGACATAGTCCGGTGCGTGTGTGGCCTTGGTCAACACATTTAACCTGTGAGCCTCAGTTTTCCCATCTGTAAAACTGGAGTGATGACACCACTGTCTTATTGATTTGCAGGAAGGAGTGAATTAGTTTACTATAAGTAAGGCTCTTAGGACAGTGTCTCAACCCATGGTAAGCACTTACCAAATTAGCTGTTGTTACTATTTTATCATTAATGTGGTTGTTAGAGTTGTTATTGTCATTATTTTTATACACAGTAGGTTCAACTCTTGGTCAGTCTCACTATGCAAAACATAGAATTTCTCAGCTGCCTCAGCCCCCTCATTTGCAAAACGGATACATATTCCCCGCAGTGATCTCGAGCAGGGTTGACAGGCTTTCTGGGAAGGCCCAGACAGTGCACATCTTAGACTCTGCAGGCCTTACAGTCTCTGCTGTGACCGCCCAGCTCTGTCCTTGTAGCGTGATACACAAATACATGGGCCTGGCCATTTCCCAGTGACACCAACACGTGATTGCGTATCATTATGATGAGTTGCAACCCATGATTCCCCTGATACTTTTCCAACCGCTTATAGATGTAAAACCCACGCTCAGCTCGCTGGCTGTACCAAAGCAGGCTGCAGGCTGACTTTGTTCCCCCCGCTGTCATCCGCTGACCCTGGTGTGAGGCGTCAACACGACATTCATAATGTCCCAGTGATAGACAAAGTGATGAGGTATCGGGAGTGTGCCCTCATGGGTTTTACAAAGAGAAAAAATAGTGTCCTGTAGGTTTCGGCATTGCACAGCTGTATCCCATGCTGTGATTAGAACACGAGTGAGATCCCCAGATTCTGTTATCTACCCACCTCCCTCGAGTGGTGGGATTTGGTGAGATGCAAGTGGTGAGATTTATGACTCTCTTCGACCTCGGTGATTTCTGATTACTCAACGTGTCAATTACTGGGGCATAAAAACTCAAACCGGGGGGCGGGGCGAGGGCCCCATGGGAACCCTTGGGCATGCACTCGCTGCTTTCAGCCGGAAATCAAAAGTCCTGGCTTTTATTCTGAAACCACCGGAGCAGGCGAGCCAGCGGCCAGGTGCTTGGAGATGGGAACTCCACTGGAATCCTTGGCGTGTGTGTGAAGTGGAAATGTTTAGGGAGCAAGGCAGCAGGCCTCAGGGTGGCTGGAAGAGCTCCAGTTTGGGGACCACGGGGACTCTGGGCCACATCCTCGCTCAGCCACGCGTTGGATACGTGTCCTGGGGGCGGTTTCGGAGACTCGACGCCCTCCTTCCGCGGGAGGCAATCCTACGCAGAACATCCCAGCCGTTGGGAGCACAGCAGCCTGAGTTCCGCCGTCGCCTCTGCCGTCGTCCCCTGGGCGGCCTTTGGGAAGTAATGGAACCTCCCGCAACTCAGCCTCCTCATCCCTAGAACCAGATGACGGTGACACCTAGCTCACAGGTGCCGTCGGGCCGAACGAGAAGACCCAGGCAATGCACTTGGAAATGGATCCCGCAGGGAGAGCATGCTAAGTCATTGCTGACTGTTAGGATTATAACATTTATGATTACGACAGGCTTAGTGAGGATGTACATGGGCTGGCCTGGCCCGGGGCACGCCGGGGGAGGGGCAGTTATCGGTGATGCGCCCCTCCCGTCGACCAGCGAGGGATGGTCAGCCCCCGATAAATGTGAACGCAGAGCTGAGAACAGGAGACCGACAGACGGCCCTGCCGGCACAGCGCTTCCGATTTATGCAGGATAGGAGACAGGAGTTAAATGTTCTGTTTTGCCCTCCAGGTTTGGGTCCATTGTTACCTGACTCCAGAACCACCCTCTACCACGGCCCCTTCTTGGTGTGCTACCAACTTACTTTTATTTGTAGTATTTCACCCTATGTCTTTCATTTAACAAACACATGTTCTTTATTATGAGCTGCACACCATCTAACTTTGCACTCATGCCTTCACTGAGTGCATGGGACTCCTGTGAGGCACAGAGAGGCTAATTAACTCACCCAAGGACACACAGTGATGAGGGGCAGAGAAAAGGTTCAAGTCCAAGCCGTCTTGCTCCGGGCTTAGAGTTCATGAGCACTGCACCGTGCTGCCCGATCCCTGGGAACGGCCTGGTTTGTGGACTTCTTGTCTGTTTGTGTATTGTTTGTTCAGCCACAGCCCCGGCCCCAGTTGCAGCTCTGTGAGGTCAGGGGGCCTCACCTCTTTAATTCCCAGCTGTAGCCCCAGTGCCTGGCACAGCGCAAGGTGCAGAGTTGGTGCTCAGTATATATCTATTTTTTTAAAAGATTTTATTTATTTACTTTTAGAGAGGGAAGGGAGGGAGAAAGAGAGAGAGAGAAACATCAATGTGCGGTTGCTGGGGATTATGACCTGCAACCCAGGCATGTGCCCTGACTGGGAATCGAACCTGTGACACTTTGGTTTGCAGCCTGCGCTCAATCCACTGAGCTACACCAGCCAGGGCTGTGCTCAGTATATATCCGTTGAATCAATGAGTGAGTAAAAATATAGCCAAGTAAATACATAATTACAAGTAGTGCTGAGTGCTATAAAAAAAATACCAGTGCTATGATGGGACTGGACAGGGGCCCTAATGTAATGTGAAGACCAGCACATGCTAAAAATTGTAAGTATTATTTTAATTATCTCCACCATAAAATCTCCTTGGTACAAAAGCTGTGACTGAGGAGGAAGAAAATGTTTTCTACGTGGAGTACACTATTCCTGATGATAAATATTTACCCCAGCAATGACATGCACTTGAACATCAGGGCTATGTTTGACTTTGACTTTGTTGAATGATGGTCTAACACTTCTCACCCGCCCCCCACCAAGGTAAATAGAAGCTGCTGTGATAACGCACCACAGTGACTCATCAGGCCCCTGTCCCTTAGCCTCCCAGACAGCAGTTAGGCTTCTGTTTATGATGAGTTTTAATTTCTCTCCCTCTCCCTTTTTATCTCTATTGCAGGAGCGATGGGCAACCAGCTGAGTGTTCCACAAAGAGCTGACGACCAAGAGAATGATTCGGAAACAGACACTTACAAGGTAGGGTGGTGGCGGTCCCTGGATCGTTAGCTGCGACTAGACAGAGTCGGGGATGCCAGCCCAATACATGGCCTGCTCGGGGCTTGTCCCTGCTCAGGGCTTATCCCATAGACCCCATCTTCCCAGGGCTTGTGCTGCTTTTATTTAACAAATGCATGTTATTTTAGTATGAGCTGCATACCATCTAACTTCGCACTCGTTCCTTCATTGAGTGCATGGGACTCCTGTGAGGCACAGAGAGGCTAACTAACTCACCCAAGGACACACAGTGATGAGGGGCAGAGAGAGGGTTCAAGCCCAAGTCGTCTCGCTCCGGGCTTAGAGTTCACGAGCACTGCACCATGCCGCCTGGTCGGACCTCCAGAGTCCCCCATGGAGCTCAGGGGAAATGCAGGCTCGCGGCCCCACCAGAGATGCGCTGAGTCAGAAAAGGCTGGGCTGGGAGCCGAGGGACCCTGTGTCTTTAGGGACCTCCAAGATGGCTCCTGTGGAGCCGACCGGGTACCCGCTGCCAGGCGGGTTTGGCCCAGTGGTTCTCCGCTGTGAGTGATTGTGTCCGTCCCCACTAGGGGACCCTTGGCGGTGTCCGGGGACATTGCTGGCTGTCCCAACTCAGGTCATGCTGCTGGTCTAGGCGGGCCAAGGCCCAGGGCGTTGGTAAACACCCTACGATGCACGGAACGGCCCCACCCCAGAGAGTGGTCTGGCCCCACGTGTCGGCGGCCGAGGATGTGAGGCCCAGGCTCCGATCAGCAAGCAGTTCACAGCCCGGGCTGCCCATCGGAATCACCTGGGAACCGGAGCGGCCCCCGGACCAGTTATATCGGCGTGGGGGAGCCGGGGCGGGTTTCCACGCAGGCGGAACCCCTCCCCTGTGGCGTGTGCAGCCCCCGGGGGCAGACTCCTAGTCTAGGAGTTCTTCTCTGGGGAGACTGCTGTGGAAGCCTGAGGTCAGGGACACCCCGATGCTTCTCCTGGGGTGACCAGCTAGCAGGAAGCCTAAATTTCTACCAGCCGTGTCTCTGAGATCAATTCGGCTTAAGACTTGGGACACAGTGAAAGGTGGAATCCCTATGTGAGGAAGCTAATACCCCGAACTAATATATGTTGCCCATGTGGTAGAGGGACTTCCTGCCCATGACAGAAGGCTGGGTTTGGAGGAATGGGCCGAACACTCCCAGCAGCTGTCAAACCTGACTGCGTACTGGAATTACCCAGGATGCCTTTCAGACTCCTGACAGCTAGCCACCAAAACCAACCTAAACTTGACCTCTGGGTATGGGCCCAGGCCTCAGGGGTTTCTCAGGCACCCCAGGTGATTCCAGGTCACGGAGCCCCTGTCCTCCAGGGCCCGGCAGTCACAAAAGGGGGTGAAGCAGCAGGGGGGATGAAGGACGGGGAGGGGGGGCCCCTCAAAGCCTGCTGGCTCTGGCCAAGCATTCTATCAAGAGAGTCCCAGACCCTTATTTTCACCAGGAGTTGGAAACCAGCGTTGATAAAATCTCCTGCTTTTTAAACAGTGGCAACTGATTCTAAAATACTTTTTAAAAACTCTGGGAGCCAAATAAACCAACTCTGCAGACCACGCATCGGCCCAGGAAAGCCAGTGGTAACCTCAGGGCGTGGTGGCCGCATGGGTTTGATGTTTAGGTTTCATGATTTCCTGGTAGAGTTCGTGATAAACCCAAGAACACCGGCTTATTTGAAACAATGAAAACCACTAGAACAATATAAAGGAAGGAAAAGTCTTTTGTGTCCCCCAGGAGGTCCCCACCTTCAGAAGGCTGCTATGTGGTCTTTTAGTTTTTATTTTTCTGTGCACTTATTAACACGTATTATACTACTCACAGAATTAGCAGTGTAAGATACAACATGCAAGGTACTTAGCATAAAATCAATATTTAACTCATGTCAACTACTAGAGGTATAGTTCAGAACTGGGGGTGTCCAGCCTGTGGCCTGTGGGCTGGACACCCCCAAACACAAAATCGTAAATGTACTTAAAACATCATGAGACGTTTTTGTGATTATGTGTCACGATGTATTTAATGTGTGGCCCAAGACTACTGTTCTTCTTCTCCCACTGTGGCACAGAGACAGCAAAAAAGGTTGGCCACCCCCAAGATGATTCTGTGACTTAAATGACATTATATAACATAGGCTCTCTTGACGTTTTTCTTTCCATGTGAATGTGTGTATATATGTATGTGGGTTTGCATGCACACACAAACATACCTAAAATCTTTTTTTAATCTGTGATAAATGACAGAAGAGGAAGAGTATCAGGTCGGTGGCCTCCAGTTGCAAAGAGGCCGCCCGGGGAGATGCAGGGGGTGGGGGGGGTGGGGGGTGGGGGGTGGGGGGGTGGGGGGGGCGGGCTGGGGGGTGGGGGGCGGAGCAGAAAGGGCTTCCTGTGTCGGGCGGGTTTGTCGACTGAGGGTCTGGCCAGGGGCTGTGCCCACGTGTGTGTGCGGACAGCGGGGCAGGGTGTCCCCCACAGGTTTCGGCGTCCACGTGCTACATTATCGTTGTCCGCTGATTGGACAGGTGCCCCGGATAACCTGGGCGCTCCATCCGCACACCGGGGCCCGTCGCGCCGGAGCCTGTGGGGCTCCTGGGACGTGGGGCAGACTGGGGGGTACTGTCACGGTCCCAGAAACCCAGTCCTTGGGTGGGAGGGAGTCTCTCTGGCAGAACGCTGGGGCGTTTCCAGAAACAGAGCCTTTAAGTTAAGTTTAATTGGGGGCCGGCACCCCTGTGGCCTTGAGTCCTTCTGGTTTCCCTCCCCCCCGAAGACGTGAGTGACACCGGCCCGTGTTCCATTCCAGGAGGCGGCGAGGAGGAACTGTGTTCAAAACGGGAGGCCGGCGATGGTGTCCACCCACACCGTTCAACTCTACGACGAAGGTCAGTGTCGCCCGGCACTCCCTTGGGGACGGGACTGCGGGTCTTGTTTGTGGCGGGATGAAACGGAAGGGTGGAAGCCACGGGCTCCCCTTGGAAACAGCCGTCTCAGTGCCCTGGGACTGCCCGGACGAAGTGTCACCGTCAGGGCGGCTGAAGCAACAGACATTTATCGTCTCGCAGTGCCGGAGGCCAGAAGGCCGAGATCAAGGGGCGGCAGGGTCGGTGGCTTCTGAGGACGACGGTGGGGTGGGGGCGGAGTCTGTTCCCCGCCTCTGTCCAAGCTTCTGGTGGCCTCTGGCGTCCCTCGGCTTCCAGAGGGCCCTCTGCATCCCCGCACCCATGGTGTCTTCCTTCCCTGCGTCCGTCCCTGAGCCCAAACGGCCCCTGTGATACGGGCACAGACACACCGGGATGAGGCTCACGCTGACGGACCTCATCACTCCGTGACCGTCTGCTAACGAGGCCTCGGGTCCTGGGGGTTGGGGCTTCGTCTTCCAAGGGGGTTCCACTCAACTCTCAGCTGCTCTCCCCTCTGCTGATACGTGAGCCAGCGCACGAGGGTGCAGACTTGCGGCAGCCAGGATGAAAGCAAAAGAGGAGCCACTCTCAGAGTCAGACAGGCTAGGTGAAGTTCCCCGCTCTGCAGCTTAACGTGGAAGCGGAGTCCGGCTCCATCCGCAGCCACCAGGGCTGGGACGTGTGTCCGTGACCCTCAGAGTGACCCTGGACCAGCAGCGTCCCATCTCCTGGGACTATTAGACCTGCAGATGTGGGGGTCCCAGCCTGCATCCCCCCGAATTAGAAATGCTGGGGGCGGTTCTCACCTCAGTATTATCCTGCACCAGGGACCCGGCGGGAGGCTCTGCGGGGCATAGGGATAACTGGAGTCCCTCCCCGCCTAGAAGGATCTGCTCAGCCCTGGCGGTGGGGGGGGGGCATCCCTCAGCAGATGAGAGGATATTTCCAGGAAAGCCCGATGTTAGGAGTTTCAGATGACATTTCCCAATTCAAATACAATGCAAACACCCCGTGGGCCAGACACCAAGCCGGCCGCTCACAGATCTCACAGAGGCCGACCTCGGATGTTGTGAAGTATTTTTATTACCTCACATGTCTTAACGCGGTGGGTTTTAACCATCATCATCATCATCACGCCAGGTTATCACAGCGTGGAGCATTAGACATGTGAATCCTGTAGCCCACGGACGGCACACACAAGGCCTGAGGACCGAACCCGGCCCTCCACCTTGCTTTATCGGCCCGGCACCTTGTTTCTACCCAGCGGCAGCAGCGCGAGGTCCTTGCCCCTAGTTAAAGAGCAGTTACATGTACACAGTCCTAAGATGACATCTGGCCTTTTGAAGGCAGCCACGAGGCTGATATGGCCCCCGGTGACAATGCATTTGGCGCCCCTGCGTGTGTGGTCAGCTCCAGGTGTGCTGGCGGGGTTCTGGGCCCTCCGGGCATCCTGCCCTCCGTAAGGTGCTCCTGCACGTCCCCACAGGGAGGGACCGCTTGGGCGGCAGGGCACCCGTGGCCCTGTCCCCTTCCCAGCTCTCTTTTCCCCTCTTAAACCAGTCAGCTGCCCGCGGGGTTGAACCGTGAGTTCTTTGTAAAATCAACGCTGAGAGGCACATGGACTCCCAGAGACTTACACATTCAAGTCCCTGAGTTTGCCGAGAGAGGATCAGGCTCTGGAGGTGTCCCCGAGGCGTGCGGGGTGTCCCCGCCAGGATGCGGAGCCGGCTGGGCCCCAGCCCTTCCGAGCGGAGCTGCGGGCTCTTCAGCGGCAGAGCTGTCACCGCCGTGGGGCCAGCCCCAGGGGAGGCGGGAAGTGGGTCAAACATTCCTCAAACCCCAGGCCCCATTTCTACTCCCCTCCTTCATGTTTTCTTTTCATTGTTTGTACATTTTTAAGTGACGTGGGCGGGGGTGAGACTTCATACATCCAGAGACATAATGAACGGCAGGGAAAAACGTCACTGCCGGGACTCTGACTGCCCCCTCCCGCCGCCACCCCCGCCACCTCGCCCCCAAATTTCCTTCCTTAGGGACAAGTGCCTTGTGGCCAGAGGTGTCCCAAGCGTGGGTGTTCTCAAATCCTCTCCTCAACCTCTTGACATCACTTTTTTAAAGAATTTATGTATTTATTTTTAGAGAGGGAGGGGAGGGAGAAAGAGAGAGAGAGAGAGAAACATCAATGTGCGGTTGCTGGGGGCTGTGGCCTGCAACCCAGGCATGTGCCCTGACTGGGAATCGAACCTGCGATGCTTTGGTTCGCAGCCCGCGCTCAACCCACTGAGCTGCGCCAGCCAGGGCTCAACATCATTTTTAAAAAACACGGGGGCAGCTGTGCAGACAGTTGGCTGTAGCTCTTTCGGTCGCTCCCTGGCTGTCTCGGGGGTGTCCATGCCCGTGGCGCACTTGATCGTGTGGACGAATGATCGCTGACTCGCCCAGGTCCCCAGGGGCCAGAGGTTAGGCTGTTCCCGCAATAACACTCCCCCCGCAAACAGCCTGCCTCCGCGGAGTGATACTTGCCGGGCAACGGCCCAGAAGGAGAGGTTAGAGCGCCCAGCGTGTGCGGAGTCTTAAATGCTGACACGTGCCGCTCAAGTATCCTCCCGCTCCCAGCAGAGAGACACGCGCACTGCTCTTCAGGCCCCTCCCACGGATGGGAGTCACCAAACCTCGCCGGGTTGGCCACTTTGACACGCGGGGAGCCTCGCCTCGCTGTCATTTTATTTTGCTGGTGTGTTACTACTTATGAGGTTGGCCACCGTTTTAAACGCTGAAAACCCAGCTGTGGTTCTGTGGACGGCTTGTTCACGCCCAGTGCTCCTTGTCCCCGCCCCCCACCCCTGCCGTGTTCATATTTGTGTACGTAGCTTCCTTTTCCAAATGGAGATACAATTCACGTTCTGAAAAACTCACCTTTGTCAAGTAGACGGTTCAGGGCTCGTTAGTATATTCACGAGGCAGGCGGCACTCCCCATGGTCTCATTCCAGAACGTTCTCCTCACCCGAAAAAGCAGTCCCTTAAGCAGTCACCCCCGATCCCCGTGCCTCCACCTCCCGGCAACCTCGAACCTACTTTCCGTGTCTACAGATTTGCCTGTTCAGGACATTTCTGTACAAAGACAGAACACGCAATCTGTGGCCTTTTGTGTCTGGATTCTTTCACTTGGCAACATGTTTTCGAGGTTGGTCCACATCGCAGCAGGTGGCGGGACTTCTTTTTCGTGGCTGAGTAATACTCCACTGTGTGCATTGCCACATTCTGTTCATCCACTCATCGGCTGATGAGCATGGGGGTTGTTCCCATCTGGGGGCTGTGATGGATGATGCAGCTTGAACACTTATTTATGTACAAGTTTTGATGTGGATATAGGTTTTTAATCTCTTGGCTATGCAGCTAGGCATGGAAATACTGGATTGTAAACTAAGTCTGTGTTTCACCCTTTTGGGGAATTGCTGGACCGCTTTCCAAAGTAACCGCACCGTTCAGCCTGCCCACCAGCAACGTGCGAGAGTTCCCATTTCTCCGCATTGTCACCGACACCGGTGGTCGTCCCCCTTTCGGGCTGCGGCCTTCCTGGCGGGTGGGGACTGGTTTCGTGTTGTGGTTTGATTGCCGTCCCCGATGACCGCTGATGCTGGGCATCCTTTCCTGTGCCCATTGGCCATTGTCTGTCCACCCTGGAGAATGTAGTGTCTTCTCGATTCAGTTGCTTTTCCCATCCTTCTGTCCCGAGCCCCCTGCCGCCTCCTACTTCCTGGCCAGCTGTTCTCCGGGCCCCAGAGTTCCAGCCTAACCATCCTCCTCCTTAACAGGGGTCCACGTGGCCTGCGCGGGACCTGGCCTCTCTCCCAGCTGCCGCGCTCACCCTCGGGGCTCTCGCAGCTGAGGTGCGGCCCTCCCTGTGGGAAGGTGTTCGATGCCGTGTGTCTGATCAGTGCCCTCCCTGCCTCGTGCCCCTGCCGTCCCTGGGGGTGAGAGAGGCAGAGAGAGAGACACCCCATCAAATTTTTGCTGGAAATGTGAATTTCTAGAGCTTTTTTTTTGGAAAGTAATCCGACAATGTTTACTTTTTAAAACTGCATAGCACAGCGGTGTCCTCCCCGAGGCCCACAGGCCACAGGCGGCTCAGGAGGGCTGTGAATGCGGCCCAGCAGGAAATCGTGAATTTACTTAAAACATGACTTAGTTTTACTACTTGGACAGGTACATTTTCCATACTAGTGATCGCAAACTCGGGACCTGTTCAATGATTTTTAAAAGATTATCAAAAGGGCTGGTGCATAATTAGGGTTATTATGAGAGAAGTTTTTTGCTTATCTGTGGTGGCGGATATCAAGAAAATTATGCACAGAACTTTTTCTTTTTTTGCCCATCAGTTTCTGTTAGTGCTTGTACATTTAACGTGCAGCCCAGACAACTCTTCCTCTTCCCATGTGGCCCAGAGACGCCAAAAGCATGGACACCCCTGGTGTAGCCATCGTATACCTGAGCCTCCATCGTACAGACATAAAGTGCTAATTTAGGATTTTTGAACGTCAAAGTGTATCCAGCATTGTTTGTCGTGGAAATTTTTTTTTAAATTAGAAATGATCAGAATACTTATTGATTAGGCAACGAGTTAAATATCTGTTGGTATATCCATCCTAAGAAATAGTATGCAGCCACTAAAACGTGAGGCAGATTTGGAGGCGCTGACCAGGTGGGACTGCTCTGGTGGTCTTATTTGATGCGGGTCACCCTGCGGCAGGGGCTTCAGCAACAAGCACGGATTTCCTCCCATTCCGGAGGCTGGGATGCCCAAGGAGCCAGCACACCTGGTGTCTAGGAAAGACCCTCTCCCTGATTCACAGTTGTCTTTTCACTGTGTCCTCGTGTGCGGGAAGGGGCGAACTAGCTCCCTGGGTCTCTCTTCTAAGGGCACCAATCCCTTCCCTGAGGGCTCCACCCTCGTGATCCAAGCACCAGCCAGAGGCCCCCA